AGGTTTTATTTCCTATAGTCCGTACCTGTGATTCTCTTTGAAGGATGCCCTGAAAACTACAGGAGCCACTTTGCCCAAATGTAGAGAGAGCTGTAATTGCCAGGGAGTTTATGTTCTCCATAGATCTTAGCAATGATTAACTGTTGCAGGAGTATGAAAGCCCAGCTTATGTGCAGTGAAGTGGGAAAGCTTCTGGGTGTCAGTTAAATTCCTGAATTTCCCTGTGGGATTAGGCAGAAGCCAGATTTTTGCTTCCTTTTTTCCCCTTCCATGTTATACTTCTCCACTTTCTGATCAGTTTCTTCTGAGAACATCTCTTTAATAAATTATTTACATGCAAACCTCATCTCAGGATAAACTTTACGGTCATCCAAACTAAGGCATTCTGAAAAAAAAATTGTTGGGATTTTGATCGGGATTGTGCTGAATGTATAGATCAGATTCAGGAAAACTGACAAAATTACAATAGTGAGTCTTCCAATCCATGAACATGGTATATCTTTCAGTTTGGGCAACTGTCCTTTGATTTCTCTCAGTAATGTTTTGAAAAACTTGTATATAGAAAAATATTTTTAAAATTTATTTTATTTTTTTAAAAGATTTTATTTTTGGGGGTGCCTGGGTGTCTCAGTTGGTTAAGAGTCTGCCTCCAGCTCAGGTCATGATCCTGGTGTCCTGGGATTAAGCCCTGCATTGGGCTCCCTGCTCAGTGGGGAGCCTGCTTCTCCCTTTCCCTCTGCCTGCCTGCCTGTCTGCCTGCCTACTTGTATCTCTCTCTTTCTCTCTCTCTCTGTCAAATAAATAAAATCTTAAGGAAAAAAAAAGAGAGAGAGCATGAGCTGGGGAGGGTCAAAGGGAGAAGGAGACTCCCCGCTAAGCAGGGAGACTGATGAGGGACTCGATCCTGCAACTCCAGGATCATGACTCGAGCCGAAGGCAGTGGCCCAACCTATTGAGCCACCCAGGCACCCCGAAAAATACAATTGTTTTGTTAGATTCTTATGTATTTGATATGTCTTAAAGCTATTATAATGTTTTTAAGTTCATTTTTTAATTGTATATTGACCTTGTGAATTTAGTGGTCTTACTAAATTCACATGTTAATTCTAATAATTTGTCCATAGATTTTTAGATTTTCTACATATACCATTAATGCCATCTGTGTATAATATCAGTCTTATTTATTCCTTTCCCATTCTTGTGCTCTTTTCCCTCTCGAATTATTGCACTGGCTAACACCACCTGAATAGAAATAGTGATAGGGCAAACATCAATTTTCACTCCACTGGACGCCAGGGACACATAGTATCCTCAGCTTAACCTTTCAGCCAAGAAATACTGCAGACATAAAATTTCAGTTATATAAACATAAATTTTATGCATTGATAAAACTTTGGCATCAAACCTGTGAAAGGTATGCAACATATCTATTGTAATTTGAGAACCACTGACTTAGTGTGTTTACCACTTAGTGTGTTTACCATCATATTCACCAGTCAGTACGATACTTAGAGGGGAGGCTTTTTAGTTGTCCAATTTTGGTAATATTACATTCAGGTTTTAACATTCTTATCTGGCCAACCTATCTCACTTTCTCCATAATGTTCCCAAGAGAACTATACAAATAATAACAGGATGAGAAGCAAAGAATTTTAATTACAAGTTACCTAAGTATTCTTTTTATTATTTTCAGTTAGCCAACATATAATACATTAGTTTTGATGTAATGTTCAATGATTCCTCAGTTACATATAACACCCAGTGCTATCACCACATGTGCCCTCCTTAATACTAAGTATTCTATTCGCTAATGTAGGACCTCTTCCACAAGGAGTCTTTCATTGACCTGCTCAGATGAACTCAGCTGAGTGACCTGCAAGTTCACCCTCATACCACTCATTACATGTGTGTTTTGTCATTATTTGTCCAGTGACATCCCCAGGAGCCATGGATCATGCATGCCTTATTGTTCATTGCTCTATCCTAAGATCCTAGCAAGTACCTGCCACAGAACTACCATTTGTTGACTTTTAACTAGTATAAGAGAGTTAGATGTAGCAAACATTACTCCATCTACGTGACACAGAGCCCCAGTTCACTCATTCATTGTTCGGTCATTCAAAAAGTATTTATTTGAAGACATGCTATCTGCCAGGACCTCCATCAAATATATCACTTAGTTCTCTCAATATGTCTCCAATGTAGACATTATTATCCCCATTTGATAGATGAGTAAACTGGGGCTGAGTTGTAGCAGAGCTCATATCCAAATCAAATCTATCCAAATCCCAAAGTGATGTTTTGCAAAACAAAACAAAAAACCTCACAAAACAAAAAACCTCACAAAACAAAACAACAACAAAGAAACCCGCAAACAGGCAAAAATAAAAAAAATATGGTGGAGAGAAGGCCTAGTAGGGCATAGTCACTGCTTTAGAAGATCTGAATGGCTGTGATGGGGCACCAGCAGGGACTATTATTATACATAAAAGCCAAACTGGTACCTGTCAGTTAGAAACTCCAGACTTCAAGAAAAAAAAAATAGGAAGAAGTTTCTGGTGAGAAGAACTGTCCAATGGGAGAATGGCGAGCTTTAGTGCTGTGAGTTCCTGTGTGGTTACTCTGGTGCAGACCCAATACTTAGGTATGAGTACCATGATGCAAACCTTGCCTTTTTGGAGCTCATAGTCCTGATGAGGAAGCAGCACAAATAATTTACTTGTTTACTGCTTGAGAGTGCAGCCCAAGGTGCTATGGAGGCATAGAAAGATGAGTGCCTGAAAATGCCTTCTCAGAGCCCTCCTTGAGAGATCTGGATGTCATTAGAGAAAGGTCTTATGAAAAAAGTAGGAGAGTTCTAGGTGAAGAAGAGAAAGGCATTCCAGGCAGAAGGGTTGGCACATGAAGAAGCCCAGATGCCCAAAGTGCCTATAGGGTATATCTGGCCAAATGCTAGTAACTTAGTTGTGTGAAAGGTTAGGACAAACATCCTGGGGCAATGACCTGGACAAACAAGCATCAGATCTTAGAAGATCTCGAATAGGCCTCCCAAGGAGCTCAGACTTCTCCTTGTGACCCAGAGAGCAGAGTTCAAAGCTTGTCCAGAGCTGCCAGTCTGTCTCTTCCATGCATCCCAGTGTCTCTTCACTAGTCTAGCTTCTGGCCCCAGTGTGGAAAATGTGTTAATTAATGATGAAAACTATTCTGCTGTCCAGGCCTGTAAAGGCTTCCTGGGAGCACTCTGTAGAAAGAAGTCCTGGTTGTTGCTGTCAACAGTTCCTGTGACTCCCGTAATAACGGTATCCTGGTCCCCAGGCAGTTTTCTCTTCTCCTGGGTGTGTCTGCCTCAGCATCACTAAGAGCATTACATCAACTGTGGCCTGGTGCTCCAGTGTGCACAGCTCCATCCAGGCCTGGAACCCGTCAGAGACACAGGGAATTAGATGTGTCAGGAAGAGAGGCAGGGCTGTGTAGTTGGAACAGTTTCCATGTAGCTTTTTGGCTCCCCACGGTGTTTGTGGAAAATGTTTTGCTAAGGAGTGAGGTGCTCTTTGCTACAATGACATTTTTTTTTTTTTTTTGCCCCCAGAGGTCATTCTTATATTTATTGGTTTATGACTTTGAAAATATGTAATAAGCCCGTTTGTTTTTTAGCTGTAGTACCAGTGAAATTATACCGATCTAGTGCAAAGCCTCCTCTGGCAAACTTTTCCAAGCATTCAGCAATAGGTAACATTTGTTGGGTGGACAGGAAAGGGGAAGAAGATCCTGGCATTTGGGGCAAACAATGAGGGGTATGTGAAAACCTGAATGTGATTCACTTGGAGAGGCATCTCAATCCCCATTTCACAGATGTGTAATTGGGTAAATCTCCTTAGCAAGGAACCTCAGGAGTTAGGACAAATTCCTCTCCCTCCCCACTGCCAACTAGTCTCCACTCCCATCTAATCGGTGACTGTGAAACTTACTCTTCATTGATGCATCCCTCCCCTAGACCCATTTTTCACCCTTCTCTCACCTGCTGTTGACCCAAGGTGGCTAACATCTAAGATCACATGACCCAGGCTCTCCTGACCTCTAGCTTCTGGTTGGATTTGGCTAGAGAGGAGCACTGGCACGAGATCAAAGACAGAAGGGGAGAGAAGCTGGGCATGTTATTCCTTACTCTTCCTCCCCTAGCTTGGCCATGGTCTGGAGAAGCTGTGCTCCTGACTCTGGCTCTAGCTTTTACTGAATCAGCCAACTTCCTTGGCTTCCAATTTCTCTGGGCTCTTGTGAGTACCATTCCCTTCCCCCCTCAGGTCTGGGGGTGGCGATACCTTCCTGCTCTTGGCTGTGACTTGTTCCCTTAATCCTGCTCATACCACTCAAGATGGTCTTTCTTTCCCTGACCAATGACGAGCTTCACTTCTGGGTTGGATTTGTGCGACAGCCTCCTTTCCCCTGCCTCCAGTTTGGCCAGTTCCTCACACTCTTGTGCTACAATTAGACAGTTTTCTAGATTGCATATGTAAGCATGCTATGTTCCAACTTACACTCCTTCCAAAGCTCTTCACTTCTCTTCAGATCAAAACCAAACTCTGCCTGCCCACAAAGCCCTCCATGGCGTGGCCTCAGCCAGCCTCTCCTTCCACAGCTGTTCCCTCCCAGGGGCTCCATGCTGCAGCCAAGAGGAAGCACTAGCCTTCTTCCATGCCCACCCGGCATGCGGATGTTCTCCCAAGAAAATGGCTGCACAATTGGTGTTTATTGAGCATTTACTATGCATCAGACACTAACCTAAGAACTTTTTTAATGGATAATTTAATTCTCACACCAACCCTACTTGACGTCTGATTTATAGTCCCCATTGTACAGATGGAGAATCTGGGGACGGCTCTGTGGGGAACCTGCCGTGGTCATTCATCAGGGAAGCAGCAGAGACAGGTTTCAAATCCAGGCATCCCAGTCAGAGGTCATAGTATAGTCAACAGCAGCTCAAACACCAACTCTTCTTTTAGATCCCAGCTCAGAGTTCACTTCCACTGAGGCATTTCTCCTGATGCCCTGCAGCTGAAGAAGTCATTCCTTCAACTGGGTTTCTACAACATATTTCTTCAACTCAAGCTAATAGACTGCAGTTGGTGGTTTCTGTGCCTCTGGATGGAGCCCCAGGAACTGAGAGAGGCCTCCTTAAAGAAAGGTCATCTGCTTCCTGTCAAAGGTAGGCACTGGGTTAGGTGCTGAGCACAGTGTACATGTTTAATAATTGGGGAATGAATGGGTAGATGAATACATTTGAAAATACAGCCATTTAGCTCAAGCTGATATCTGTATCAGAAAAGGAAAGGTCAGTTCCAAAGCCCTCAGATTTTGTTCAGATGTGAAAATTCACTGAAATGTATTGAGAACCTAGCAGTTTGGGGCATTGTTTTAAACCCAGGGCGAAAGCAATGAATAAGATAGATGTCTCTCCCTCACAGAGATTACATTCGAGTTACTAATCACTACATTAATAAAGCGAATGATGGGACGGAGTGAAGGAGGAAGGCATACTTTCAGCTTAGATGATATTTGTAAGGGCTCTAAAGACCAATCAAGCAGCACGACAGGGAGCAAATCAGAGAGGAGGGGCAGCTCTCCTAGAAAGGATACTTGAGCAGAGGTTTAAGGAGCCAGAGCAGGAAGTTCTAGGAGGATGTGGGGAGTGAAGCTCAGGCAGAGAAAAAGGCCAGGATGAAGGTCTTGAGCAGGAGCAAGCTTGCCTTGTCTGAGCGAGAGCAGGACCTTCAGTGTGGCCAGGCCACAGGCATGGAGAAGGACATGTCGGAGCATCAGATGCTGGAGGGTGGCAGAGGTGGGGACTTAAATTGATTCTATGTGTGAGGGGAAGATGTGATATTTTTGGTGAGGACAATGACACAAGTTGCCTTTCATAGTAAAAGATACCTTTCTGGTACTTTCCTGGCTGCTTTATGGAGAGAACATTGTTTCACTTTCTCAGCATCTCTGAGATGCTGCCAGATTCTGCCTACCCACAAAGCCCTCCATGGTATGTACCTTAAGTATAATGGGGGATACCTGTGGGGGGATACCCCCCCACACACACTATGCTTAAGGTACATACCCTTAACCAACTAGTTAGTAGTAAAATAATGATAAAGACGGTGACCATATGTAAAGCGATTAGATAATTTCAACTATGTGCTTTTTATATTAATATAAGTCTCCAGTTATTGAACATGGGCTATCACCAGGTGCTGATGTATTTATATATTTGACTTATAGGGATATTGAAAAAATTGAAGATGATTTTTTTTCCCCCCACTGGAAAAAAAGATCATGAGACCTGGAGAGGTGGAATGATCTTCTTCAAATCACGTAGCTGGCAAGTAGAACTAAGATTCAAACTTCAGTCTGTCTGCCCACCTGCCTGTGTTCCCTCCACTCAGCCCTGCCACTTCCCATGGTGTAAATACCAGCTTCTGAATTGACCCATTAGCTTTACCAACATGTGGAGGCATCAGAGCAGAGGGATTGCTCACATTTATGTTTAAAACAATTTGTTTTGGGGCACCTGGGTGGTTCAGTTGGTTAAGTGTCTGCCATCCGCTCAGGTCATGATCGCAGGGTCCTGGGATCAAGCCCTGCGTCGGGCTCCGTGCTCAGGGTGGTGGGAGGGAGTCTGCTTCTCCCTCTCCCTTTGCCCCTCCCCACTGCTCGTAAGGGCTCTTTCAAATAAAATCTTTAAAAAAAACCCACAGAATTCATTTGCTTACTTCTCTCAACAATCCTATGAAAGGGACATTAATATCATGATCAATCCTCATTTTATAAATATGGATACTGAGGCTTAGAGAGGTGAGCTGCCTTGCATGAATCAGAGGAAGGATTGAAACCCGTTTCTGACTCCAGAGCTCATGCTCCCTTCTCCCTACATCAGTGTTGTCCAATAGAGTGTTCTACAATGATGGAAACGTTGAGGAATACAGTAGTCATCTGTGGCTATTGAGCCTTGAAATGTAGCTAGTAGCTACCACAGTAGACAGCTTACCTTATACTATTCAAATTAAGACAAGGACCAATGACATACTTCCCCCACCTCTCTTTGTCCCCTCCCCCCCACCCTTCTTTACTTCTATTGCTGACTAAGGATAGAGCATGTATAGGGCAGTACGTGGATGGGGGTTGGCTGGAACCAGGACCATCAGACCCTGGGTCTGTTCTGGCTTCTGTTCAAGGTAGGGAGATTAGATATGTGCATAAATAACTAAAATACAAAGTTGAAGGTTTAATGTCCTAAGTGCCCCAAGAGCAGAGCTGATAAGTGGTGAGGGGATAACAAGGCTCACTCTCTCTCCTTATAGGGCAAGTCGAGGGAAGTGTGAGATAATCATTGTGAATGTGCGTTAAGAATAATGTGCTCCATAAATTTTCAAGCACTCTGTGGATGCAGCCATCAGAGACAACATTGTCTCAACTTTGCGGGTCCATATTCCAAGGATGTACATCTGTAATCTGCCTGGATCTTCACAAGCTCACTTTGAGGCGTGCACGATCACATCCCCACTCTGAGATGTGGAAAGGGGTACTCAGAAAGGGTAAGCACCCACCCAAGGACAAACAGCTGGTTGGGACAGAGCTTTGGGTGCGGCCCTAGGTTTCCTGACTCTAGAATCAGGAATCTTTGCAACCCTCTTGCTGCCCTTGGCAGATTTTATGAGTTATTATTATCCATCCACCCTTATTCCTGGCACAGGCAGGCCTCCTAGGGAAATAATTCCTGAGGTTTAGGCAATTCTGTTAGCTGGGATGTGCTACAGCTACACCCTTGACCCAGGGCAGGTCTTTTGGATGCACCAAGGCCTTTGTCATAACAGAGGATGTGCCAGAGAATGAGATCAGTAGTGAGGCCATCCTGATGTGGCCACAAACAGACCCAGATTCCACAGCCCTGCAGGTTGTCCAAATGGACAGGCTTTTGAGGGACCCATCAGCATTCCTGGCATCTATTCCTGAAGGATCTCATCCCAGGAGAATCATAAAAATTTGGTAATCTAAAGGGCCTAGAGATGCCTTCCAATCTTTTACCCAGCTCCCTCTTTAAATAGAAGGGCAGCTCAAGGCCCAGAGAAGGGGAGAGAATTTGTACAGCCAAAGGCCAGTTTACTCCCATGACTGTTGTATTAACTCTGTTTCTTGACCCTCAAAACAGGTCTCCCATTCAAACCACTTTAGGTCTTTCTTTGGGATTTGTTTTGAAAATTTAATACAAAAGAACACCACATGCAAACGATTGCATAACTGCATTTGTTGATGTATTTCTGAGATGGCTTCCTGATGTCTGTCCAGGGACTTAAGAGTGTCAGAGCTATGGCGGTAGAGGGTGGGGGGGAGGGCTGTGGCACTCATCCATCAAACCCCCTATCTTACCGATGGGGTAACTCAAATCCGGCTTGTTTAGTGACTTGCTCAGGGCACATAGCAAGCTGGTGCTTAACTAAGAGGTGTCAGTTTCTGGTGCCAGAAGCTCACAACTTGAAAAGCTTTAAGAGAAGGGCACATCTCATGGGCACAGAATCTCTGCCCTGAAGGTTCTCTTTCCTAGGGAGCCCAGCATGTAACATGTGCAGATACGCATTGTCCCTAGCTCCCTGTGAACTTGGGAGTCCATCTTTGAAGTTCTGATGCCAACACAGATCAGCTTCCACCTCCAAGGACCAGTTTTAGTTCTGCTTCCTCCAGGAAGATGTCCCTATTTTTCCTAGTATGCCCCAATTCCTCTCCTCACTTCCCTCTTTACATTTCTATTGTTGATCCCACTGCGCTTTGACCTTCTACTGGATACACGACTGCAAGGAAAGGGAATTACCTGTGTTGAACACCTACTCCAGGTCAGGACTGGCATGATTATCTCATTTAAGTCTCTCAACAGCCCATGAAGAGGATGTCATTATCCCTTTCTGGGAAGGCAGGGCACTAAGTCTCAGAGAGGAGAGCCAGCTTGCCCAAGACCACACAGCACATACCTCATTAATCTAGTCGGTAAAATTTTATTGCACACCTGTGTCCTGGGCACTACTTTAGGTGGAAAGAAACCCTTTATCTCATGGGAAACTAATGTGCTAATGGGAGAGGCAGAAGATAAACAAGTTGGCAAATTTCCTTCAAGCTCCATCAAATAGGATTGCTTAGTGTCCCATAATTTCCCTAGTTTTGTTCCCACTGCGAATTCCATCAAGAAATCTCTTTTCCTAACTTTAGGTGTTCAAAATCCACATACTCTTAGGGCCCTTCTCCAGGAAGCTTCCTCCAGCCTCTCGAACTGGATCATAACATATGTTGAGTAACATATGTTGAGTACTTATATGTGTCAGAGAGTAGGCTAAGCTCACTGCATGGTTTAGCTCTTTTTATCCTTGCAACAACCCCACAAGTTCAGCACTATTAATACCCAATTTTACAGACTAGGAGACTGAGGCTCAGAAAGGCTAAACTTGTCCCGTATTTTCCCCTTACTAGTCTAATAAGTGGTAGAGCCAGGATTAGAACCTGGGCAGGCTGTCTCCTGAGCCCATGCACTTATGTATCATTTTCTGACTGGCAAAACTCCTTTCACCCTGAGCCATGTTGAAGGATGCTGGATGAGGCCACCTGGTGTCAGGGGAGACCATAAGAAGGGTAGACAGTGGTCCGGGTCTGAGCTCAAACTCAAGCAATTTTGTCATCTTCTTGGACCTAGGATGTTCAAGGCCTAGTGGGAGATTCAAATACTCATCATACAGGATTCATCTGTACATAAATATCTTCTGGCATAGCCCCTGAGATCCATCATAGATGCTCAATAAATGCTTGCTGAATCTGGACAAAGCAAATATAATAGTCCTTTTCTCACTGGCCACACTCTGACTCTCTAAAAAATCAGGTTCCCTTGGTAGTCTCTATCACTGAGACATGCTACCTTAGAAAAAGGTGGTATGTTTTCCTTTATTTCTTAATAAAGGGTTTTAAAAAATTTGAAGACTTGCCTTTCTGGTCACATGGCCACAGCTGATTGGCCTAATCTGAGTCAGGAGTCCATCCTAGTCCAATCAATTGGTCTCTCCAAGGAACTTGGAATTCGGACTTCGAGGTGGAGTCAGTTGGCTGTGGGAAACAAGTCAGAGGCTTCTGGGAAATTTGGGGCCATTTCAATTACCAGGCTGTGAAACAAATCACTTCAGTGGTGTACGATGACCATTTATCAAGCTCATAGATTCCGACAGTATGGAACCCACACAGGACACACTGGGAACAACTGTGTCTACCATGTCTGGGGCCTTAGAAGATTCAAAGGTGAGGGGCTGGAATCATCTTGAGCTTCATTCATTCACATGTCTGGCTATTGATCATGGCTGTCAGCTGGAGGCCTTGGTTTCTTTCCATGTTTTCTCACCACATGGGCTAGTTTGGGCTCCCCCACAGGGTGGTGACCAGGTTCTAAGATTAAGTGTCCCCAGAGAGAAAGCCTGGTTGAAGCCATATTGCCTGTTATGACTTAGCCTTAGATATCACACAATGTCACTCATGACATGCATTCGATTTACCAAGGTGGTCACAAAGTCCTGCCTAGCTTCATCAGAAGGAAAAATAGACTCTGCCTGCCTCTTGATGGGGAGTGGCCAGTTTCTGGAAGGACATGTAGGGCTGAAAATATTGTGGTAGTTAATTTGGAAGATAGGATCTGCCACAGGTGCTGAGGCAATCATTTGGGGCGCAGGCATGATGGGTTATGTGCAAGAAGAAAAGTCAAAGATGGTTTATAGGGGAAGGTGCTGTCAAATAGAGCAGATAAACTGGGGAGCGCAGGAAGAAAATACCATTTGGCCAGAAAGTCAGGGTGCTGCAGGTTGGGTTCTCCAAAGGAGATCCTTAGAGTTTGGGTTCTCCAAAGGAGATCCTTAGAGTTTGGGTTCTCCAAAGGAGATCCTTAGAGTTTGGGTTCTCCAAAGGAGATCCTACAAGGTGTTTATGAGGGAACAACCTCTGTGAAAGGAATTGAGAAGAAGCAATACAAAGTAGAGGGAGAGGTTGACCTGTGATAGAAGTCCAACAAAGCATTAGCCAACACAATGGGTATTCTGGGACAAATTTTGCCATCAGGATGTCCCTTGTCAGTCTGAATGACTGGGCCTTGACACTGCCTAGCTTTATCATGGATTGTGGGCTACTGCAGCAAGGGCATGACCTTGAGGCAGGCTGGCCTCTGTAGCTAAGGCAGACTGCTGAGGAGTGGACAGCTGGAAGCTGCCTGGGGACAGCACTCTCCTCAGCTATGTGGGCG